GGGGGGGGGAGAAACAAAAGTTAAAAAGTAAAAAATAATATAAAAAACAATGTAAAAAACAATGTAAAAGTCCATATGTTTGTGCTTATAAGTATATATCCATGACGTGCAGGATATTGTACTGTAATAATTTAACTGAAAAAACTATAAAAATATACATTATTTACATAGTACAGATATATATAATAAGGTACGGATAAGGTTCAGAGAGAAAAGTAAAATGCAAATTATGTACTGTGTGTGAGATTGTCCATCATGTCGTCCGGTTTGTGTTTTGGTTGAGGAGTCTCACTGTTTGTGGGTAAAAACTCCTCCTGAACCTTTCTGTTCTTGTTTTCAGGCTACAGAGGCGCTTTCCTGACCTCAGTAGCTTGAACATCTGCCACCCTTCTCCAAATCTGTGCCCCTACCTGGCCCCCCCAACAAAAGTTTTCTAGACACGCCACTGCTTTAAAGTCTTCAGTGTCAAAACAGACATGTAATTGATTTATAAAATATATATAAATATTTGGACAGAGACAACTTTTTTCTCATTTTGGTTCTGTACATTACCACAATGAATTATATATATTTGTTCTGTTCCAGCATCTTCAGATATTCTTACCATTAGATGAAGGTCTTCCTGGGTGGGTCCTGGCACCTCAAAGCTTTCCCAGGTGTCTGCTGAGCGCTGATAAACCAGCTTAGTCCCTGCTACACTGTACTCGCCTGGAACGCTGATCTTCCAGTTTCCATTAATCAAAAACTGGGAGCGTCCATTCTGCAGGGCTGTGCAAGGGAAGAACAGGTCATGAGAATGAAGGAAAGACTGGCATGTCTTTCCATATCAAAGGAAACAGTTATGTTTCCTTATCAGTGGGTGAAGTTGAGGCAAAGGCCGGATGCCAGAAGCAGAAATATGGCGCCTGACTATATATGGCAGCAGTGACTCCTGGAGGGGAGAGATTTTCCATGACATGGATGGAAACAAGTACCTTCACCTGTCTTAACCAAGTGGTCAAATAAAGCCTTTATGAGGGTCTCTTTAAAGACAACAGCGCATTCTGTTTCAGGGCGTGTTTTATTTTGGTCTCATAAACTGTGATGAGAATAGATGCCCTTGGTTATTTTGCTGCCTGGGAAACGTTCAGAGGGTCCAGAAACCAAATGGGACCGTCAAGCCCACTGTCTCCAGGGAGAGGAAGCCACGGCATGTGTAGACCTGAATTATAAAACTGATTTACACTGCAGCTATGAAACAGTGATGCAAAGAGACTGCCATGGAATTAAGCTGAAAGTCAAACGCACAGCAGGCCTGGTGTGTGTAAAAGAGAGACAGGGAGAAAAAGCGGCTCTGTAGACGGATTCTTACCAAGATAATTCCTGCTGTTATCAGTGACTCGGATGTGAGTTGCTCCAGCAGGGATCATGGCCACTTCATTGTATCCAAAAGGCCCGCCTGACAGAGAGAGTAAAAGCTTGGTTTTAATTGGATTTCTTGCACCACATTCAGAAAAGGCCATTTTTTTCCAATCAACTACACAAATACAACACCAACAGCAAGCTTGGATACAAAGTACCAGGAAGCCAGGAAACAAGAAAATCCTAGAAATCATCTAAAAGAAGCTTGTTGGTTAAACAATAATCCCACATCTGCCTCTGGGATTGCAGAGAGAGTTATGGCTCAGTCTGCAGGTTGAAGTGTTTAAATGGTAAATGGCTTTACTTATATATACGGTCCAAAAAAAAGGATGTGTCTGTAATGTTAAAGCATCTTCACGTTCAAGTCATCTTACAAGACCAGACCAGCCTCCTGACAGAAATCAACCCCTCAGTTACTTGTTTAAACTCTTTTATTAAAAACTAAATCACCAACATCAGATTACTAGACTACCACTTTATTAGAACCAGTCCATTTACCATTTTAGTGCCATGCTAAACAAGCAGTCACAAAGTTTAAACATTTTTTTTAAACATCTTAATGTTTTTCTATCATTTAGAACTTTTTTCTCATTTATGTATGTGAAAATTCCACAAAATGCTGTGGATGCTATCCTAACCCCACCCTTAACTCTAAATGGTCACATGGTGGATACCAAAAACCTGCTATGCATTACTGAATGTTATTTGAAAGGATATAAACTTGCACATCTCCAGACAATTGACTGTACTATTATCCTAGTTTGATACATTCAGTCATTTTTCAAACATAATAGATATTTAGAAGCATTCAGACTGTACTGTGCACCTGATACTCAGGGTCTACCTTTGTGTAACTGAGCAGTCAGTAAGTGCTCTGTAATCAGTGACTCACAGAAAACCTGGATTATTAATTACATGATTATAGCTTTTAAAAGAGCTTGCTGTACACTTGCAGGCGATGGTTTGTAACGTGTCATTATAAGACAAACGGGATCTGTAATGTCAGTAATATTAAACCTAATTAAGCACAAAGAAAAAGAAATATGGACTCTAAACTCCCAACCATTCCTTACAGACTGATACTTCAAGAAATAGAAAAAGTCTCAGGTGTGTCCCCGAGCGCAAAGCATCAACAGCATGAAGCTCATTTTTCATGACGTATAAAGAGTGTCTCACTCTGGTTTTTCTTTTCACCAGTTTCGGAGAAAAACTATTCTCGAGGTGAATCTGCAGGGCTTTATGATGATATAGTGTTTTGAAATGTCAAAGTGGCAGGCATGTGATCAGCGATGAGCTCTGGGCCACGTGCATTTGGAGCTTGGAAAGAACCGTTTCGTGCTGCCCCATCGGCCCTCCCTCCACTGGTGAAGGAAAGGAAAAAGAGCCCTTGGAGGCTGCTGAGTCACCCAAACAAAGCAGCCTTTATCAGTCGTGTTCTTCTTTCTCAGTCTGAGCCATTATGGGCCAGGACTTCATCTATCACCTCTGGTCTGCCTACACAATGAGCTGTGAGAGAGAACCACTGTTACAGAGCCAAAGTGACACGTTTGAGGTGTTAGGCACTTTGTAATTAGGTTTAATTCCCCAGAATCTGGTGCTTATTTTTTGTTTATTTCCATCTATTATTCTCAGACCATTAATGTTTGAGAATAACATGAAAGCTCTGTATTATGTTGAGGTTTCCATTCATTAGATGAATGCTCCCAGCTGAATAGGAATGCCCCCTAAACAAACCTCCAAACTCACATGAGTTAAAAAGTAACTATTCTGAAGATAAAGCAGCCAACAAATTCCAAAACCTGCCAAAAATCACATCAAAATGTAGCAAAAGTGCCTTAAACGTGCAAGGCCACTAGATGGCAACTGGTGTTTTTGCAAAAAGAATTTTGGTTAAATACCAATACTATGAAGTCTATGAAGTCTTGACCTCTGTATACACAGACTATTCCATGGTTTGCTCACCAGCTGATGACTTACATTGACATTTGAATTCTTAATTCAATTAAACAGGGCAAACAATGCAGTATAATACTGCAACACAGTGTGTGGGATTTGTCTGCAGTATACGGGGGAACATAGCACACAGATGCAGGATGAAGTCAAGAGGCTGGAGATGAACTTGAAGAACATGTGTCCAAGTCCAAGCTCTGCCTGCTGCTTTGTTTTTGCTCTGTTTAATAATTGAAATACATTTTGATGTGATTAAATTTCAAAGTAAACTGAGTTAGAAACAGTTTGTTCGCTGGCCGGGTTTAAGTAGTGAATACTTGTGTTTTCTAACCTGTTATTTCTCTTTTCAGATAGAGCATACAAACAAACTTCTGAAATCCTCCTCCCAGCATGCAGTCATAGCCCACATTATCCTCTCGAGTACAAGTGCTGATGAAGGTAGAACATGTTGTGGTGGCACCGAGCCAGAATAGCCCAAAGAACTTTGTGTTCTTCCTCCTCTTTCCTGAATCAACTGTAATTTTGTAGCTGTTGTTAGCTCGATTCCTCCTGGAAGGCAGCCAACTGCTTTTATTTGGTAAATGTGTTGCCATGGTTAATGTTCACTTCATCAGGGAACAGTTCCCTGAGCTTGAATGACTAATAGCATTTGGGTAGGAAAACACAAAGGGGGGACTGGAAATATCCCCACGCTGTGTTGGCATTTCAGTCCTTATTACTCTGTGTGTGTGTGTGTGTGTGTGTGTGTGTGTGTGTGTGTGTGTGTGTGTGTGTGTTTCCTACCTGCCTCCAGACTGTTGCTCTGGTACACACTCTTGTGGTGTAGGCAGGTGGCGTTGTGTCCGCCACACACCATGCAGGCATCCACCTGCTGCTTTGAGCCTAAGATGAAGTCACAGCCAGGTTTCTGTGATAAACACAGACAAACGCTTTGAGAAGGACAGTTTGCTTTGACTTAATGTCGCTCCTGTTTTTCCTAACAGCGTGCATTTTCTGCGGAGAAGTAACCTTTCTTTTGGCCTTTTCTTTGCCATGTAGTCACCTCCAGCTACTGCCGGGCCTCAGCTCTCTTCACTCTTCCTTTCTTTCTCGTATTTGCTTCTCTCTGTCATTTGCTTGCTCTTACAAACATTTACTTTGTGGAAAAACTGTACCCCAGTGCCTCAACAGGGCAGAGTGGGTTGGAGTCGTCTCTGTAAATGCCAGAGTAAAGAGCAGCGAAGACGAGCAGGATGTTTTATGGTGTGTGAAGAATCTGTTGCTAGAAAGACGACAGTGGCTGCGCTCTTCTGTGGTCTCCATTTCTGCTGTGCAACCCAATCAAAGAGGTTCCTACACTAGAGATCAATAATCTGGAGAACCTATTTAATCAAAAACACATGATCTGTTTGCACAGAAGAAGACATGGATGCTGTGACATTTAGGCATGAAAGCAGATTGACAAATTGAATGGTTGAAGTTGTTGCTGAGCAGCTCTTCTAAAGTCTAGAACTGATACGGTCAGTTCACTGTTTGGTCATTCAACAGGAAATGAACAATCAGAATCAGTAATTTAATCATTTATGTCATCCAAAGGATGACAGCTTTCCCACTGGTAACCTCCACAGCTGAAGAGAAAACTATTCTTTTTCTTAAAGTCAAAACTAATCAAGTATCAAAATCTGCAGTTTCTCAAGTGGCCACTTGAGGCAGGCGAAAACAAACCAGCCAATCCCGATGGACTCTCCATTCCAGCCAAAGACAATAAACCCACTTTGGGGTTGGATCAGGAGGGCATCCAGGGTAAAATCAAACATGTGGTGCTGCCTGCTGTGGCTAGGGAGCAGCTAAAACATAGCTAGTAATTGCAGAATGAAATAATTTCTTAAACTGAAAAGAGTTTAGATAATTTTGTGTGGTGTACATTAAAGAAACACCGCAGTTTTAGCTGTGAAGGAGTATCTACACTTACACTGCACACATACGGTCCTGTGTTCATGTGTTCACCTGCCTGAACTCAGTTTGTTACCTGCAGGACTCCACGAGCTGCAGGCTGCATCTGCTTCTTGTTTCAGGCCCAGGGCAGCTCTGACCTGGGCCAGCACAAATCTGTGGCCCATAAATCCTCTTATATGTGCCACACGCAACATGTGAGCATGCTCACACACAAATACACACGTATGCACATGCAGCATATGTAAACATAGACACAAATTAATCCTTTGTGGGCTGTGTAAAAATAGCTTCAGCAGTGAGCGTCCTCCCTTGCAGCAGATGTGTCTGCTGAGTGTTATATATGCATGTCCCAACAGCACACGGGCTCCAGGACCCACGAGACACACGTTTGTTTCCTACCCAGTCCCCATCCGTGTGAGGGTAGGAGAGGTGAGAAGGGGACAGGCTACATGTGGGATTGTGGAGAGCTCAGCAGAGCCATAATGCTAACTGAAGGCTGCAGTCTACACTGATGAGAGAACTGTGGTCCAAACGCACAGCATGGAGTTCACTTCTCCAGAGAGCTCCAGTGAGACTGGTCAACATCACTTATGCCTCAACAGAGTGGAGCTGAAGGCACAAGAGACTCGGGCCAGTTTTCTTTTGACATCGCCGTCATTTGAAAGCTTGGATGAGTTTTTAAGGATTTCTGTTTCCAGAAGTACAGCTCCTGTTCATTTTTTCCATAGACATGTGACTGAGTGCCGGAGCACCTCAGATGACTGAATGGACACATATCTCTCTTCAAATAATATTTATTTGATAGAAAAGTGAAATTATTTGTTTTTTAGTAGAAAAGGAACAAAAATTAACTGTAACTCTCAATTTAGCACAAAGCATCCACATATAAAATCAAATTACTGTATAATGACTTTAAGACATGTCAATAGTTTAACTTTTAGACTATAGCGTGGTGAGAAAATATCCTGATTTTTGCATTCCTGGTATAGACCGGACGTGACATCTGCAGTCCAGTCACAGGTGTGAAAATCAAGTGCCCATATTAGGAATATCCCCTCTCCGTGACATCATACTGACCCAAGAGCAGGAAAAACTACCTGAAACAGACTGAACTTCGTATCTGAATCCTCGGCCATGTTCAACATAAGCATCTGGCATTGCTTATGACAGAAAACAAGGAAATCCATAATAGGTCTGCTTTAAATCTTCTATGCGGTAAACATAGGAAACACTGACACACACACAGACCGGGTACCACTCACCAGGCAGCGTCCGTTCACACACACTGCTCCTGAGTCCTTGTCGCAGGCTGTGCCGTCAAGCACTCGGCCAAAGTTGAAGTAGAAGTTGTGACCCAAGGCCAAGCAGCTGAGTTCACAGGGGTTAGAGCCTGGCAGAGAAGATATTCAGTCAGTGGCTCATTATAATATTATGGGAAAATAGGTGAAGCAAAGAGGCAGCGGGGGAGGTGACTGAACAGCAAAAACAACCAGAACATGGAGAAAGAGAGCAAACTGAACGAACAGCAACAAAGTCCTGGGATTTAACTTCCAGTAGGCCACAGCAGGATGTGCGAGCTACACGGCTGCCACAAACACACAACCTACAGGTGCGTACAGCTGCTGAGCTTTTTTATTGTTTAGCTACAGTCTGTATGGGCCTTAAAAAACACAGTCTCTGCACATCCACGAGCTATACATCTGAGTCCCTGGAAAACAGAAAAAAAGCGCTGTTTTATATGCTCATCGAGGCTCTGAATGTTATTGGGGAACACTTTTTAAATTCATCTCCAGACATTTTGCTGTAGTTTGTTATATTCTACACAGATTAAGCCCAAAAGACACATTAGGATAGACTTTTCAGCTCACTGTGGATTTTTGATACGCACTAACTTGTTTGATGGGTTTTATTGAAGATTTGTGGTTTGTTATGTATGATTAACAAAGAAGGGAACATATTGACACAGTCAAACTGTGGGAAACTGACTTCCTTTTGCGCCCTTACAGTAAACCATTTCATTTTACAGTCGTGGTTTAAATTCAGTGTTAGGACCGAGCAGGCTGCTTATGGTGTTAGTGTGGTGCCATCTGTCCCATCACGATGCCCACAAGTAGTAGAAAAACTGTATTTCAAATATATCTGGTCTAAAAGCCACGAGTGCCCAGGAATTGCTTTATTGGTGTGCAGGCTTTTTTGTGTTTTCTAGTTTTAAAACGTGCTTCTGAAGACAACATAGAAAAAAGTCTCTCTTTCAATCCATGTTAGATATCACTCTTCTCCTCAGAGGCCTGTAGATCGAATAGGAACGTTCGCTGGCTTTCAAGGAAGCATCTTTTGAAAGAAAACCATTTTTCCTTCAATCTGGTGCTTAAATGATGCCTGTAGAGAGTAAACTGTGGGCTTAGAAAATTTTCATACATATATAAAAACCACACATTGCATAAATGAGCCATCTGTCTCAGCATTCATATGGTGACTCTATAACAAGCCACGTGGGACTAGTTACATCCAAAACTGATCTCTTCACTGCACAACAAAAACAACAACATATACTGAAGAAGTCTTAAGTAGGAAGAGGGTGAATCATCTCACTGACCTCCATGAAAGGTGGTCCATCTGAAGGAGTTGCCAGCCACCAGCGGCCTGTCATTAAAGGCAGCACACTGCATCTCTCGGAAATCCTCCGAGCCAGGGGGACAGTCCTGCACACACACAGACACACAGCATCAACACCCTGACGTCCTTGAGGATGAACCTTTGTTACGACCATGCCATACAATATAGGCTTCACATCGAAGGAACCGTCTACCTGATTTTGAACTCTCTCAGTGAAACCGTTTTGATTGCTACACTGTAACAATTACTCTGCATACAGAGACACATTATTGCTTTATCGTGAAGCGCAAACAGTGGCAGGACCGCCGCTGCGGTGCAGACACAGGTTAAACTGTCAGTGAAATTCCAGATCACACCCTGAAAGTCGCTGATCGTTATACCCTGGACATTCCTTCACGAGCAAACATTAGCCATTGCTCTACAGTGTTTGCATAAAATGTGTGCGTGTTTTTTTTAAATAAAGACCAAAAGCCTTTTTGTTGAAAGAACCTTGGTGTTGCAGATCTTGTACTGTCTGGGATCTCCTGCACATGGTCCACCCACTGGATTCCTGGGACACAGAAATAAAAGAGATGTATAGGATTAGGTAAGAGAACAGTAGGAAACACTGTGGCTTAAAAATGTTAAAATATAAATTTCATATCCCTTCAAAAATCTCTATGAAGGTTTTTCTGAAAAAAAAAGTCTGACTGAAACGTCGCATAAAATTTTGAAAACTGTCCGTATTTTCTCCCGTGCTAACCTTGTGATGCAGGTGCGTGACCTCACAGATGCTCCGCCCCCACAGGTGCGTGAGCACACAGACCAGCCGCTCCATGTTGCCCACTCATTTCTGAAGTGCAGCTGCCTCCGTGTGCGAGCTGGACGCATCGACGAATCGTTGCTGTTAGGACCCCACGCCGAAATCCAAGAGGGCTGGAAAAAAAGCATAAAACAGAGAGACAATTACAAAGACAACTTTAAGAACAGGTAACACAAACATGAGAGCAGGACACTGGGAGAAGATCAGGTAGACACCAAATGAGTGTACACGCTGAAACCTTTTATCAAATGTAGATGGAGTATTTGTATTGGAAGCATTAGGTTTCTATCATATCTCTCTGCAGTTATTTAGGTCACAAGAGTCACAGTAACAGATGCTGGTGTTGCAGTAACACATGTTGCAACCTATGTATATATTCTGTGGTAGGGCTGTTCGATATAACGATATATATCGGATGATGATATAAAAACATCTATCGTTTCATTTTACTCTATTGTTTGTTTCGTGGTGTCGCAAAATAAACTGTTTACAGCGTTTTGATGGTCCCTATAGTGGCTATATTAATTTATTAAAGTTCTCTCTTTCTCTTATATTTAATATAACCACACTACAGACGGACAAGCGCCTGTTTTTATGCGTTGTGGTTAACAACAACGATGGTAACAGCATCGCGTGTCTGCTTGTTTACAGAAAATGTTACATTTTTGTGATTTATATCGTTATCGGGACGATAGAAATCTTATATAGGGATATGAGATTTTGGTCATATCGCACAGCCCTATTCTGTGGTTATAACCAGAGAAAAACTTCTTTAGTTCACAGTATCTGCAAAGAAGTTTAACTATAGTTGTGGCACTAATCTACAGGCACAGGCATTCTTTATCTATGCATTGGCTGTTTAGAGCTTTGTGTGCTATTTTCTTCCATGACATGCTTCTTTCAATCTAAAAATGCTCCATTTACACATGTAGTCTTAGTCTGAGCGTTTATGCAAACGTCAATGTCAATGAATATTTATTATCAGAAACTGTTGGTGCCCAGAGGTTGAACACTGACTTTCCTAGCCACAAACACGTTTCCATCCTATTTTTATTCCTCTGTGACTGGCTCACAATCATCTTGATCCATGTGCTACTGTGTTATGTTTTTTTAATATGATCTTTCTTTGAACAATGTTTAAGTTCTTACTGAGAGATTGAAAGTGCAGAAACAACACGACTCCCTGCTCTGTTGTTACTGTGCTCTGCTCTGCAATCACTCTGCACTCATGTCCTGCATGTTCAAAGCTGTTAGGTGGCAACTGGCCACTGTCAGCAACTCCGAGTCATTTGTGTCGTGCATAAGGGAGAAAGCAGAGAATGATGAAATATCGTTTGTGGGAGGGAAAATCCTGGAGCCAGATAAATCTATTTAAAGAGCAGACGTATGAAGAACAACAGTCAACCTTGTGAGCCTGGTGGATCAGGATCAGCGGAACAATAAAAGTGATTAGACAAACCTCAGTGCTGCTCCTCAAACACATTCCACAGTTTCTGCCCTGGAGGACGACTGAAACTGGCAGCATTCCCACTGGTTGCTCATACTGCACACACACGTTTAACTCTTTACACACATGCAACAGCTGCAGCAGACTCGCTGTCATGGATGGCTGAAGCCACAGACAGCAAGTACACAAAACATGTCAGACGGAAAGTTGGTTACATGTATTTAAACTGATTCATATCTACAATATTTAAACAACACTGAAGATTACATTTGAAATAAATCCAAAAGAGGCAGCATGTGCACTGAGAGAGACAAGCTGAAGAAAAATGATTTCAAACAGTTATCTAATAAAGACTTTATGCCAGCATGCCGACGATTTGTCACGTCCTGAGGCGTTCCATGGGAAAGCTAAAGGTAACCTTCCGCGTCCCCATGACACGTGCCCGATTGTGGATGGAATCCAATAGAAGGATGCTGCCGGCGGTAGCTCACGTTCCAGCCATGTATTCCAGCCCTAACCCTAACCTCATGCCTAACCTTGTGTGTTTTCCAAAGCAATTCATGATGAGAAAGTAAAATAAATGTACATTGTAGATTCAGTCCAAATGGTTCTCATGTTTCCTTCTGTTTCAAACGCATAACATAGGAACGTGTTGGGGGGCTGAAAGCGTAACATACCGACGATTTGTCACATGGCATCAGATGTTACGCGTTTGGAGTGAGAACGTGTTGCTTATGCATGAGTATGTTTCTTAGTAAAAGCATCATATAGATTTAAATCAAATATTAATTTAATGATCTGGCTCTAATTTAACAGTTGCACCAGGTTATGTGGCAAACAAGATGATTATTACAACCTCAGTGTGCTACTCTTCACTGTCATAACATTTTAAATGGTGTCAGTATTGCAACAAAACAACACATTTACTGAGTTTTACTGCAACAACAACAAAAATGGATGTTCACAAATGAAACAGAAAACTCTTTGTATGCAGCTGATGTTGCACCACGTCTGTGTCGGTTCATCCAGGTCCTGGTTTAAGTTTAAGGAGCAAGAAATCCAACAGACTTCTTTAGGTTCCGTGAAGACGTTTCACCTCTCATCCAAAAGGGAGTCTTCTTCACTTCTAAAACCAAAGAGTGGCAATGTGATGAGGCTCATGATTAATCTGAACTAGGTTTTAAATACTGCGGACATTTGGTTTACGTGACAAAAAGAAAACAATAATGGATTGACCTCCCCAGAGCTTGAACCTCAAGCAAAGAAGATCTTTGCTGTCCTTCAAGAAGCCTGGTGAAGAAACAAGAAGAAAGCCTGCCTACACCAGTGCAGGCTGTGTTGAAGAACAAAGCTTTCCTGCTCATGAGAAAATGTCAAACTCTGGTTTGGCTGTTATTAAGATAAACTTTAGTGGAAAAAGGACCCAGGCTACTAAACAAAGGCTGATACGTGTGTAAACCAAGATCACTGATGTTAATTCAATTATACACAGCAAATTCAAAAGTGTTAAATGTTTTGGTGTTAATAGTCTCCTTGCAAAAGTAGAGTTAATTTTACTCTAAGCAGAGTCACATTCTTTTAATGTAACTCTGAGGTGTAAAATGATAGTAGTTAAAATCGAGTGTTAAAAATGAGTGTTTCTCTGTCAAATCTGGAGGTGTTACAATGGAAACATTAACTTTTGACCTCTTAACTCTGAACTCCTACAGGGGCTATGACACCAACAGAGTAAATTCACAGACTCCGCCCCCAGCACGGCTCCAATCGAAGCTGAAGTGAAGCCGTTTCAGAACATTTTGCTCTACATATTTGAGTTGTTTGCCATGCTTGGTAAGTCATTTTTTCAAAGATTGTT